TTGATATTCTTCTCTATTCTCATCACCTGCCTGCTTGATATTGTATTGACACTTTAAGGAGAAATTCTGTCTTGGTCACTTGGGGGAGTTAAAGGGTTAAGTGCTACAAAAGTGCAAATAGTAAGAACTTTGTGACTGAAAAGTAGCGTGACCCTCTTAACAATTGAGATCATGCAAAAGTTGACCTTGGTACTGACCAGAATAAAAAGCTTGTAACCCAGCCATCATGTTCACGAACAGAACGAATAATTTTCCCAGGCTCACCGGTGGAGTAGTCCCACACTTTGATCACTCCATCTACAAACAGATTAAACAAACACTGACTTATTACGTGATCTTGTTATAAACTGATCACCTGTTCTTATCTGTTAACTCTGCAAACAATGTACACATTTTGAGACTTTAAAACTCTCCTTTATTAGAGCAGGTGTTAATTATTTCTGGAGTGGCTGCTGACATAGATGATTAAGAAAGCTAATTCTCATTGGCTTGGAAAAATGTGCAATTTAAAGCAAAAAATGGTACGTTTTGTGAATAAATTCCACTGATGAAAGCCAATCAGATCGCAAGGATCACCAATGATTTCAAAATGGATATAACAAGAGAGATAAAATAACTCATGGAAGTTTAAATTGCAGTTTACCCCCGTTTTACAGCCCATGTAAACCATGTTTGGATTATTATAGGTAACTGTAAAAAAGTATGGAAAGTATTTTTAAGGCTGTGATGTGATGAAAACACACAGGAACATAATCTGCCTATAGTGGTAGCTTATTTGGACAGCATGTTTATCCAGAGATTGGTTTGAAAACAAAACAATGAACTGCGCTGAAAAGGATAATTACAACTCCAAGGTAGATTAAGTCTAAAAAAAGTTCACAATTTGAAGTCATATAGTATTTAAAGTCTATAAAGACAGCAGCTTAGATTGACATAACTGGCTTCACTGAAGCTTTATGGGGCACCAGGCTTATCGGTCGCTAAAAAAGCATTTGAAATTTCAGCAAGTATCGTATTTCCTGTCATACTACCTTCAAATCCCACAAGAATCTCATGTTTCATCGGATTGTACGATAGCGCTGTGATCGTTTTATTGTGGGTATCTTTAATCACCGCAAGCTTTTCCATCGCCATCTTCAACGAAAAGTTAGACGAGCACCTCTAGCGAAGCTCTCATTGCCGGAGAAAATGGCTAAATTCCTATACACGACAAAAGGTAAAAGAACAACAAACTATGACCTCGACATCCATGTTGCCTTGGGAACTCGGAGGAAACTGGGTCGGTTTTATCAGGAACTGAATGAGATCGAGGCTGTAGAAAAAGGTGGGGAACATTGACACTGATAAGCATCTAATTTCTCCCAGCAGTAGCACCCCTGAGTTAAAATTTGTGATCACGAGAGTGTAGGAGGAGATCGCATACTCAAGGAGCTATTGATTTTGATTGTTCGACAAATTCTCCTTGTAAGTCTCAAGAAATGTACAAAGAACAGTGTGGAGGTCTTGCATACCACTATAATTTGATTCCAGGAGCACAGAGGGTGCTTAAGTACTTTTGGTACCTCAGTACTTTTGGTAACTCAAGGGAGGGCGCTCATTTAAAACAGGGTGCTTAATTATGAACAGGGCGCTTATTTCATTTTTTGAGAAACAGCCAAATATGCAGAACAAAGCTTCAATGTTTATTTAAAAAGAATCACGAAGAGTGAAAAAACCAGACCATGGATCCTTCCTGGCAAGTACAACCAGCCAAGAATATTGCTGATCTCTAATTAGTCTTGTTTACATTCTGGCCTTGTGAAAACAATTGTGTACAAATTTCAAACCTCTTTCCAGTCACTTCTCAAACAATCATGTATATTTTTCCAACTCAAGGTCAAAAGCCATATTGCATTTCCTGAGCTGACCCACAATTATCAAGGTTTTGCCCCAGAATTGGAAGTTCTATAGCTTTCCTGAGAATTTTTTTTTTTTTAAGTAGAGGTCATTTAAATGTCCAGCTACCTTTCCTACAATGAAACCTACAGTAAATGCAGCTGTCAAGAAAACTCACTACCTGTTCCATTTGTTGTCATGGAACTTCTGACAAGCACCTCAGGGAATGGAAATGCCACCACAATATCCAGAAGAGGAACAGAATGTTTATTTAACAGCTGATCTTCACATTGATCAATAAAAGAGAACACTGCATCCTCACTTTTAATCTCTCATTAAATTTCTCATACTAGGTACTCTAAGCTCCAAATGGAGCAAATAAGTTGATATTGTTTCATACAGTAAATCGAGTATATATTAATAATATAAAACATCAAGCCTTTCTGCTCAATACCAGCAGAGGCGTATACACCTGTCAACTTTCTACAAGGAAAAGGAATGAGAATTTTTGTGTAGGACCTGATCATGGATGAGAAAAGAATTCTAGAAGACAACCTGAGGTGTTCTGACACAGCATCCTCTCTACTGCTTTACATTGACATGGAAAAGCAAGTGAACGGGGTTGTCTGCTTAAGACAGGTTCCACAGAATAAGAGTATTGTAAAAAAAGATAAAAAAACACCATGCTTTGCCATAACTAACCACCTAATTTTTTAAAACTTGCTCAAAAATACCACTGATGTTCATTTTGGGGGATAAACATTCATGGATTAAATTTTACTGGAAAGATGATTCTTAGTTTTATTTGAGAGGTCCTGCATCTGGTGAATGTTCAATACAGGTGGAGAAAAATACATTTTTAGAGGCCTTGGGACTTAGTAAAGGGTGACCATGACCACTTAAGCCTTAACTCCCATCTGTGATTAACATGAAACTTCTCCCTATAACATCCACACATTATTCAGCCAACATGTAATGAGAATACTCAAACTTATCAGATAGAAGTTAGAATTATTGATCTAACACCAGATTCTTGTGACTTATTTGCAAGGAAATGTGTAGCAGCTAGAGGGGAGAATTAATAATCAGATCTTGGGAGTTAAAGGGTTAACACAAGATGACCACTAAAAACAGGTTCAACTGTACTTGGAAAATATGGAAACAGGACAGCATTAACCTTTTACATCATCTTTCCATTCTTGATCTGGTTGAGCTCTTTTTGCACTTCCTGAATATTTTAAAACGTATGTCAAGGCTTGAGTTGTGTGTAAGATTTTTTTTTTCCCATTGGGATTGACAATCTCCAAGTAAGAAGTGTGAGCTCGCAAGGTGAAGTGAGGTCAAATTTTTTGATCTGAAGGAAAGAGCATCAAGCTTAAGACTTGACAGATGGCAGACATTAGCCACTTCTTGCTGCTGTTTCTTACTGCTTTTTTTTCAGTGTTAAAAAAAAAAAGCACTCCTTGTATAAAAATACTCATGAACAAACTCCTTATATCACTTGTCTTGAATAATAAAAAAAAACAATTTTACACATTTGTGTGACTTTCATGTCCAGGTAAATCATAAGCCAGTTACAAGTATATTGTATAAACAACAGTGTTAAACTAATAAAAACAGTAAAAACAACAAAGAAACAGTGGCAATAATAAAAATAAATTAAAAGTGTTTTCTACTCCACAAAGATAGTCCTAACAGGTTTGTGTTGAGACATGCTGGAGAATCTTTCATCCAGAGTGGAGAATGTCTAAATTGAAATGAGAAAAAAAAGGAATGGAATTACCTCCTCTAATGACAGAAAAATTATAAAAAGAGGAGTAACTATAAAAAATAAACTCTGAAATAGTAAATACTGACACTACTAGGCTTTTCACAACATACCTTCCCAGTCATGGCAGTATTTGTTGGTGGATTGTAATAGTTTGTGTACACAAGTGGCTTGAGTGGGGGAGGCTAGAGGAAAAATAAAACAACAGAGTTAAAATATACAGCATTAGGTATCATCTCTTCAGTCTTAATGCAACATAGTTGCTTACATGTTAACTCTTTACACACTATCATCAGTATGCATATTCTCTATACTGTTCTCTATAATTACCTAAAGTGCTGACAAGGAGAATTTGATTAACAATCAAGAGCTTCATCAGTTGTTGATCATATCCTTTATTCTCATGACCTAAATAAGTGCTGCAGGGGTGATATTGTAAGGAGAACTTAGATGCTAGTCTCTATAGGGGGTCAAAGAAACTCTTCATCATAACAGTGTACTACATCACTGCCAAGCATAGGCAATTTGGCAAATAAAGCAGCACATTTGTTTGCCAAGAGTTATTTTTACCTTCCATGGTTCATATCATTACACAAGTTTGTGGCTGATTTTGTGTTAGAATGTACAATCCAAATGTAAACCAAGAAATATTCATGAAAAAGAATTTCATTGTACCTGATTTAAATTATTTGGCACTGAAATTCTCAGATCCTCAGTTGGACCCACGCCTCTTGGATTGTTTGCTCCAACCTTTCCTCTCCATCTTCTCCTGTTCCTTGGATTAGTTTGTTGATTCACAGGCTGTTTCCACTGTGGGGTTCTTGTCAACCTACACGTTAAAAATTATGTATCTGACTTTTTCCTGACATTGATTTTTGGTACATGATAAACAAACAATGTCTTTTCCAAGAATACCATGTGTTTAAATAGCCAATGAACTGGAAATGTAAACATAGAGTAATTTTCAAATAAGCATTGATTTCAATCTGGGATTGCATTTGGTTTTATGTCATTTTGTTCAGTGATTGGTCCAGAAAACTCACGTCATCCTCTCAACCAATCAAGTTACTGCACTTTTCAATAACATGAAAATGTGGGAGTTGAGAATACCATCAAAAATGTATTTGACACTGCTCTAAATTGTATTACAGATCAACTGCCCACCTACCCCTCCCCTAACCCAACCTTAACCCCCACTTGTTGTCAATTGACTGTTGTTGGGTTAGGAGAGGAGTAGGTGGGCAGTTGCCCAAATACTGATATTGATCCCACATTATGGACCTGTAAAGTAAAATGACCATGCTGTTTGATATGGTTCAAAGCTGGTATTTCTTAAATTGTGATTGCAGGAGTGCTACCCAATTTTTTTGTCTCTGCTTTTACATTGTAGATGACCCTCAAAATAATATCTGGCAACAGAATGACACAAAATTGAAACTTTGGCTGTTTAAATCAGAGTTTTCATGTTATTGTAGAGGTCAAACAATATAGAGGAGTCACATCTTTGCAACAAAGTCAACTCATGGTACTCACGTTGCTCTTGGATTATTAATGGACACAGTTAGTTGAGGACCTTGCATACCACGCCTGAAAAGCATCACAAAAGTTTTAACATTTCATAAAAATACAGTATGCCTATAATAACAATGTAGACAAACAATATGACAACCCAAGGAAAACCATAATTTACACCAAAGGTATAACAATACAACAACATTTTTTTGTACTGTATAATAATGAAAAACTGTTCAGCAAAACTAAATTAAAAGATACACTTCAAGTTAAATTCAATATTAATTACTGGGAAAAAAAATTACACACAGGTGGTACAGGTAATGATGGACCATCATTCAGTAATCAGCTTTAATTGAAACCTCTGAGATACACTTAAAAAGAATATAGAAGATATCTATGATTCCACAGACAACTGCCTTCCTCAAGCTACGTTCATGACTATCTATGGATTTAACTGACAAAATATTACTGCCATAGAAAACTCACAGCAATGATTAAGGATGCACACCTGTTTCGCTGTTGCTGTCTAGTGGCTCCAAGACTTTTCACATTCTGTGCCTTGTTTTGTCGGTTTATCTTAAAATGAACAGTAAACAGACAAAAATTATTTACAGGCTTGCTAAAAGTATCTAAACTTCAATGTTCATGGGAAAATAATGATATCAGCTCTTTCACTCTTAGATTGACCAGCACCTAATTTCTCCTTACAATGTCACCCCTGAATCACCTAATACCATAATGAGAATAAAGGAAATGATCTACAACTAAAGAAGCTCTTGATTGTCAAACAAATTCTCCTTATCAGCACCTTAGGAAATGTATAAAGAACAGTATAGAGAATATGCATACTGATGTCATGAGTTAAAGGGTTAATTTCAAAGTAAAACTAGAATAATACACATGCATATTAAAAATTACCTGCATTCCTCTTCTGTTGTTGATGATATTTTGCCTGGCATCTTTTTGCTGAGTTTGTCTGTTACTGAGCCTTCTATTCTGTTGAATCTGCTTGGCTTTTGAAATAATCTTTTTACTCTGCAGTGCAGATAAGAAACAGTCTTTTAAATCGCAGACCTTCACAGATCAACATCAGAATTTGCAATCATGGGTTTTGATATAAACATTAAATACAAAAGCTCTATGACACTTATTTTCTTTCCAAATCAATAGTTAACGTAAAGGAGGTTACAAATGGCATCAAAGCTGCTTTTTATATCCAGATCATCAACCAGCACTCATAAATTCTTCATTTAAGACTCAAATGACACTATTCAAACACACACCCATTAACAAAAAGATAAAATTTAGATTTTATACCCTGCCTACTTTCCTCAGAATGGAAACTGGGCTATTGTAAAGTGTGCCGAGCATAACTAGTTTTTTTCATCCAACATCATTGAATTAGATTAACCTTTAAACTCCCAGAATTGATTAATATGTAAATTCTCTCTATATCTGTACATTATCCAGCAAACAGGTAATGAGAATTTTTAAACTTCTCAGGTAGAAGTTGTTATCTTGATCCAACACCAAATTCTGATCACTAATTTACTAGGAGATGTGTAGCATCTAAAGGAAAGAGTTCAGAATCAGATCCTGGGTGTTAATTGTGTTAAATCAAATCAATAACAATTCTTTGATTACAATATTGATTAGAGTTATTTATTAAATATTAAAATTGTGCTGTGGAATGGTGAAATGAGGAGGCTAAGTTAAAAAATGTTTTCACGTTGGCTTGCTAGCTAACAGACTGTCTAAGAAACTGTGAGGTTCTCTTTAATGCACAGCAAATCAACTGATGAGCAAAAGAAGAAAGAAAGATGTACCTTCTGTGCCATACTCTGCTTGTTTTTAAGTCTATTTGCAGCCACTTTAGCTCCCCGAGTTCTTCCTTTGTTTTGTAAATTTTGGTTTTTCTTGTAGCTCTGATTACCACTGCCTTGTCTTTGCTGAGTCACCTGACCCTTTTGCTTCCTGGTTGCTGGCCTGTTTCGACCCTGGGCTCCCTGTCTCTGTTGTGCAGACTGACCAGCATTTTTTCCAGCTATTCTTCTTCTCTGACTTTGTTTAATGGAGGTTCCCTTGTTACCCTGTTTAGTCTTGAGCTGTTGCTGTGTTCCTTTTTTCTGAGTCTGCTGTGTCTTCTTTTTCAAAGCTTTCTTCTTTAGCTTTTTCTGGTCTTTGATAATATCATCTTTGAAAAATAGAGCCAAGAAATTCAATTCAAACCAATATTTGGGTCTCCCCTTTTTCACTGAAAATATTTATTTAGAGAATTAATATTCTCATATAAAAAGAGGCTAAATTTTAACCCTTTCAATTTCCCAAGATCTCATTAGAGATTCTCCTTACTGTATACCACACAATTCTTAGGATTTTAGTTTGGAGAATTTGGATAAAGTGATAATCCTATAATTCCTTTTTTTGTTATTCTCATAAATTTTCTGCTTGATATTGTAAAGATATTGTTAGGAGAAGGTCTGTCTTGGTCATTCATTGGAGTTCAAGGGTTAAAAAAAAAAGTCTCTAGTATTTCTTTGATAGTAAAAACCGTAAATATAATGTAAACACAATTAATAAATTATCCCATTCAACCTTTGAACAGATTGCAACCGTTAATACAATCAAACGCTACAAAGATAAAGCTTCAATTTACCCTTCGAGACTTAGTCCATTCTTTCAAATCCGCGCAAAAAGGTACCCTGCATTATCTATACAGAACATACTATTAAAATCGATCAGGTTAGCAAGGAAAAGATCTAAGATCAATCGCAAAATTTTTGTCACCGTTACTAACTTAATCTTTTCGATGATTGATACCACATGTTCTGAAAAAGCGACGGATCAAATCAACTGGGCAAGAAAGGTTTCGATCTATGCTCCATCAATTCAAATGCTTTCCTAAACATTTTCCTAAATCAATAAACAGTGCATGAACGCAAGCTACGAGGTAGGTTGTTCACGATCGCAAACAAAGCTATCTAAATCCATCACAGCGAGAATGGAACATCTCGTGGGTAATTTTTACTAGTTCCAGGAGAAAATAGCTTAAATATTCATATTAAGCTAGTAAAACATCCTGATTTACTCACCTAGAGATCTATCTATGTTGGTAGACATTTTGAAAGGATTCTCGTTGATAGAAATCTTGTAGACGCCTGTTGACTACAACAAGACGTTAGCTTGGGAACCTCGTGATATTACAATTAACAGCGAGGGCCTAGGACTAGAATTGCCTCAGCAAAAAGTAAACGGGAAGGAGTGTTACTCAGGCTGTAATGGATTATCTCTTTTTTCAGCTAAATTTTATCAATTTTTTCTTCTTTTTTTTCTTTCCTTTCTGACTAAGCTTTATCATTCTATAAGGCTTCTTTCGACCTGTACTTGACGTCCATGATCTTGTGTCATCATAAATAAATTGTCTACATTCAGAGAGGTACATAATTTTGTTTTCGAACATTTACAATTTGAGTATGTAGAGGTAAGCATAGATATATAAAAAAAGCGAGAATCCTCGTCGACTATATCTTGTCAACACTTTGAAAACCGCGAAAAAAGGAAACATCTGACCTCTTCATGACAAAACGAACACATCTTAATCTTAGCGCTGTCTTTGACTAATTTTTTCAGACATCTGTCTTTCTCTCTAAAAACTGCCAGTAGTACGCAATTTGAGATGGATCTCCTTCTAAAAAAACATGTGTATCAATAAAAAGCAGTATTTCCTTCTTCTCCTGGAAGCTGTTTGACCTCATTTTAGTTGGCGTGGCTCCCTTTTTATGACGAAGTTAAGTAAAATAAGAGTATTTTAGTCTTTAAGCGTTTACAAGGAAGCTGTCCCGCTTATATGTACGATCTACTCAAATTTAATGCAGACCTACACACACGAACTGGTCGTTATAGCAAATTAAATCTCGCTTGCCCTCGTTTCAATCGCGAAACCGAGGGAGGGAGGACCTTTAGCGTATCTGCGACAAGGCTGTGGAACCAACTACCAACTAACCTAAAAAAAGAGGTGACAACGGTTATTTCTTTCAGAAAGGCCTAGCACAGACATTTTTTAACGAGCGACGATAAAGTAGAACATTTCAGTCCGAATGCGATTTAACCCGACCCAAGCGGCATATTTTATTTTATCTAGTTTTTAGCTCGCTTATAGACCAGTTGACCAGTTTTATAATCCTCGAATACATTTTAATTCCAATCATGGTACTTTTAGGATCGAAGGCCACTACTTCATCAGTTGAATTACTGTTGTGTGTTACCTTCCATAAATAAAGTTGTTATAAAGTTGTTATAAAGGTGGACATGTAAAAGTGAAAAGGAAAAAAATATTATATTTCGTATCTGTGAGTACTTTACCCCAGCCATACTCTCTCAAGAACACGATGTACAGAAAGCCAAAACTAATGTATATTCTCAGCACCAAAAATCGCACAAGGGCCGCAGATATACAGACGATCCAGCCCCA